GTGGAACCTTGGTGAGTCGCTGGCGAAATACGGGTTTCGAGTAAATCTTCAGTTTGCAAAAGGGGTCAAGACGCTTATTGGATGGCGTGTAAATCACCTCGAATTACGTTTAGGCCTCTGAAGACGACGGTTGAATCGAAAAGTTAGGCCGTTTGACTGAATAAAGTGTTCCACCTGAAAACCTCGTGTGGCACAAGATAATAATTATTACAAACAACAGCATTAAATGTTGCTAAAAACCCACAGTATGCATTGAACAACTTCAAAATTATTGCTATTCCTTTTGCTGTTAGAATCCTTTTCAATGCAGCACCACAGAAGGCCCACAAAATCTTCCTTGAAAGAATTACTTTAGGGATGGACAAAGTTCTGTGTCACGGTGATTTGTGGTCGATGAACGTTCTGTGGAGGCAAAACGGGTGTGATCTGGAAATGGCTGCTGTCATAGACTACCAGGTTACCTTTAGGTGCTTTTTGGAACAAATTCGGGCTACTTTTATCGTGTGAATTTCAGACAGCCCATTTCGGCTGTGCGGCTACAGACCTTGTACGGCTGCTTTGCGCATGCCTGAGCGGTAGGGATCGACGAACGAACTGGGAACATCTCCTGGAAGAATTCTACTTAAATCTCAAAGGAGAAGTAGGGAACAGAAAAATGCCATACACTCTCGAACAGGTGAGAAGTTTATGTGCTAGTGCCCTAAATGATCTCCACTCGAACTGGAGCTTTCATCCTTTCATTCAGCTGAAAGAAGCTTATTGTCAATATTTCCCAATTGGTGCGTTTATGATTGTGCCTATGGTAGGACCATTCTTCGAGATGATTTCTGTGAATTCCGATGAAGACTTCAAGAAAAAGGTAATGTACCCTGTTCGTGACTACTACTTTTACTCCCAATATGTATTTATATTTACAGGGTATGGAAATCGTCATGGAAAAAACTGAGTGCCTTCTCGATGACATCTTCTTCTTTCATGAACGAAACATGGAGCTACGGAAGAAAAAGAAGAATGGCTTGAAAGTGTCGCAATAAACTTTCAAATGATTTCCATGTAAAGGGATGCCTTTGAAACAGTGTTTAAAGCTCAACATATCTACATGCATACAGTGGCGCTCAAAAGTCTTCGGTCAAATGCTACATCAGCCGTACTTTTCAGTCGTAACTCCTTTCCTAGTGGATCTAATCATGCGAAATTTCTATATTTGGAGCGTGGGTGTATTGTGAATATTTACCACTATTAACCTGCAATCTGATCATGTCCCAGATATTCCAAAGAGCATGAACACAAAATCGACTGAAAATACAGATGATGGTGCTTCTAGAATCTCTTTCCTTTTGTCATGTCTAAAGTGTACGAGCGGTAATGCCGAACACAATAGATGGGAAAATCGCACATAAGGTGCGAATAAATGCAGACGTCAACAACTTTACGGGAGGAGTGACGGTGTGGAGAAGGAAGCTTCTACTCTTCGCAAGCCCAACATGGTTGGTATCAAATGGTTCAACGGAAGCTATCTTCGATCCGTCAAAAATTGAATTATGGCAAAGTTTTTTTNAATCACCTCGAATTACGTTTAGGCCTCTGAAGACGACGGTTGAATCGAAAAGTTAGGCCGTTTGACTGAATAAAGTGTTCCACCTGAAANACTGAGTGCCTTCTCGATGACATCTTCTTCTTTCATGAACGAAACATGGAGCTACGGAAGAAAAAGAAGAATGGCTTGAAAGTGTCGCAATAAACTTTCAAATGATTTCCATGTAAAGGGATGCCTTTGAAACAGTGTTTAAAGCTCAACATATCTACATGCATACAGTGGCGCTCAAAAGTCTTCGGTCAAATGCTACATCAGCCGTACTTTTCAGTCGTAACTCCTTTCCTAGTGGATCTAATCATGCGAAATTTCTATATTTGGAGCGTGGGTGTATTGTGAATATTTACCACTATTAACCTGCAATCTGATCATGTCCCAGATATTCCAAAGAGCATGAACACAAAATCGACTGAAAATACAGATGATGGTGCTTCTAGAATCTCTTTCCTTTTGTCATGTCTAAAGTGTACGAGCGGTAATGCCGAACACAATAGATGGGAAAATCGCACATAAGGTGCGAATAAATGCAGACGTCAACAACTTTACGGGAGGAGTGACGGTGTGGAGAAGGAAGCTTCTACTCTTCGCAAGCCCAACATGGTTGGTATCAAATGGTTCAACGGAAGCTATCTTCGATCCGTCAAAAATTGAATTATGGCAAAGTTTTTTTCAAGTAGATCGAATGCACTTCCGGCATGCGCCACGCCCTCGGCTTCTACCAAGATCTGCTATGTATGTGGGTGTTCAAATGCATCTCTTGTATGTGAATACAACCAATGCCAATTAGAGCCCCACACGTGTGGCAATTATCAAGGCAAGTCATAAATCTGTCTCGAACCATTTTTTTTACAATCAAAAAACTGTTTTATCATCCAACGCTTTCAGTCTGACGTTCAATGATAACGCTTCACTTCACAGCAATCGAGATAATGATGCTGTTGGCAGATTTTTTATTTTTGACTATTTGTCAGCATTTCAGCAAAATACGGAGCATTGGACGAGTTTCCAATAAGAAAGCCTAAGATATCGAGAAAGAATCGTCGAAAAAACTACCCGAGGGAGGGCAAAGAACGTAGATAAGGTATGCAACGTAACGTTCTGTGGTTTCTACGGTCTTGAAGTATTCTACTCCACTCCCATTCCAAATTGATTGCTGTCCACTGATATCGACAACCCTATGACTCCTCCATTTATTCTTTCGTGAAACTCCAAAAATTCTCTGTCACCTCTATCAGTCAGAGAGAACCCATGTCGACTGTTCAAAAGTTTCCTCTGGGTATGTAGATTCAGATTACTCAGTTGTAAATTTTTACAGGTCATGCCTCCGAATTTGTACACACCGGCAGATGGTCTCTTCGGCACCCATGTTACATGGGAGGACTGCGAAGAAGATATGCAACGAGAGTTGGACACGATGGCATCATTCGGACCAAATAAGACCGCTAAGGACATCGGAGACGGTAATGTGAGTTGTAGTGCTTTCCTTTCGAAGTCACTTATTTCAACATCATTGAAAGCAATAGAGCTTTTGAATTCGACGCTGATCCACATCATAGACCGGAAAAGCTGTAGCCGCTAATTATTACAGACCTGCTCTTTGGAGTTGCCTTGTAGACACCTATACACTTTACACTTTACACTTTATTACGGAATCAACTCATATTCGAATGCCGTATCATGGCCTCATTGAACTGTTCCTTCGTCATACTCCACCACGTTTTTCCGATCTTCTTCGACAATTCATTGCGCCATCGTATACAAGGGTGTCCTCTCCTTCTTCGGTCCACGTAGTCATATGGAATCCATGTCGTGATCACGCGAGCCCATACGTTTTCGTCCATTTCACGTATCTTTCTAGCCCATATGAGTTTTCTTCTTGAAGCCTCGTTTATCCAGTCTCTAACTTTCGTGAGTGCTCTGATCCTTTCACAGCTCCATCGGTCCAGCATACGTAATCTGATCATCCTCCTTTCCATCTTTCTTTGGGCTACGCACAAACTTCTAATATCCGATTTCCTTAAGGACCATGCTTCCGCTCCATAGAGTACGGTCGGGGTTACACAGGAGTCGAATGCTTGCTTTTTCAATGGGAGGGGAACCGGTCTGTTGCAAAGGATATATTGAAGTCTTCTGAAGGCATTAAAAACCGCATCGAATTCGATGTGCTATTTCATCTGCTGAGCTTGGTGGGAAAGAGAGGCAACAACCAAGATAAAGGGCATGATCGACGAAGGCGAAGACTTTTCCATCAATACATATAGGATGCCTCGACGTTTTACTACTTGTCAGTAGTTTTG